AAAGATTTAATTGCCTTCTTATTGATCTTAGGGCTGTCGGCAGGGAATATTCTAATTCTGAAACCTTGACTAAGTTTCTAGAACGCCTTCCTGAGTCTTGGGACACCTTTTCCATGTGTCTCAAGATGTCAAATGACATGTCCACTCTTTCTCTTTCTACCTTATACGAGATTCTGCTTAACCATAAGTAATCTCGTCAACTGAAAAGAAATATTGTAAAGGAATCCAGGGAAATGAAAAGCTCTCCTTTAGCTTTGATCTCTGAAGCTTCTTCAGTTGAAACTTCTACCCCTTTTGTTTCTTCTCTTCCTCCCCTGGTCATCACGGAGATAGATTCTTCTAAGGACATTCCAGAATCTGATCTAACAGATTTTGATGAGTCCCTAGCACTCCTGACTAAGTCATTTAGGAGGTTCGCCAGCAAGAGCAATTTTTGCAGATCTCCTCAGCTATCCTTCAGGGAGAAGACAAAGTCTGAAAGAATAGACAAGGCTTCAGCTGTCTGCTACAACTGTCACCGGCCCGAACATTTTGCAGGTGAATGCAGATCAAAGAATACTGCGACGCCATCCTCTAAAGCTCCCTCCTCCTTCAGGACCAAAGATGAAAAATACTTAAAACTGAAGGAGAAATACAAGAAGATGAAGAACAACCAGCGAAAGGCTAAAGGCCTTATTGCTGAAGAGCATGACTGGGCTGAATCATCTGATGAATAATCTTCTGACGAGGAAGATAAAGCTTATGTCTGCTTGATGGCCATTGATGCTGATGAAGGATCTTCTGAAGCATCTACCTCCTCTGAGCCATCTTCTTCTTCTACTCAGGTATGCTTCCTGAATGAACCATCTTCCTCTTCTAGTCTTTCTGCACTAGATACGCTGACGGTTGATCTTTACAATGCCCTCAATGGCAAATCAAAAGCATAGATGTTTAATGTTGATCTTCAAGAGCAATTGAAGATTTGTCATTCTAAGATCAAAGAATTGACCTCTGTTGAGGAAAATCTCAAAGATCAGGTCATTGTAAACCAAGCCATCACTGTTGAACATGAGAAATCTGTCACTGAGCGTGAGCGAGCAATCGCTGAACTCAAGGCTGTGAAAGCTACCATTGAAGGGTGGTGCAAAGCTTCCCTCAAAGCCTTTGAGATCATTAACGCTTAGATTCCGGCCAAGAAAATGACTGGTCTAGGATTCTTCTATGATCAGGAAGAATGTGTTAAAGACAGGTCCATGCTTAAATTTGGTACTTTTGTCTCTTCTATTCCTAACACTTCTTCCTCTCAGTCCTCTTCCTTTACTGAGAGTCATCTTGAAGGAACTC